CACGTGCACGCATGCACACACACACATACACCCTCGTGCTCTGTGCACACTGCACACCCTCATGTTCTCTGCAGGCCGTGCGCACCACAGCTCTGTCACGTGCCGCCGCTCACGTCTTGCCTGTCCTGTGCTGTTGTCCGCAGGGAGTCGCAGCAGCGGCTCTAACCGCAGTGGCAGCGAGCAGCGCCGCAAGGAGAAGGAGGGGGCGGGGCCGGCGAAGGCAGGCGGGGCCAGCGAGCCCAAGTCGGGAGGCAGCGGGAGCGAGTCAGATCACACCACGCGCAGCACGACAGTCCGGCGGGAGAGGGCGCCCAGCGAGCGCTCGGCGGCGCCCCCCAGTGAGCACAGCGTGCGCAGCGGCCACAGCCTGCGCAGTTCGCACAGCCATGCCTACGGCCCCCCTGGCCTGCCGCCCCCGTCCTTCCCCCAGCCCCCCATGGGCCTGATGGGATCTTCCGCCGCTCCCCCTGGCGCCCCACCCAGCCGCGACCTGGGCTCCGTGCCGCCCGAGCTGACCGCCAGCCGCCAGTCCTTCCGCATGGCCATGGGCAACCCCAGCGAGTTCTTCGTCGACGTCATGTGACCGCACGCCGTCCAAACAGTCCAAACAGCAGCGGACTGCTGCGCTAGGGGAGAGTGTGGGGGGTTGTTAATTAGTTAACGAGACGAGGAAAGGTTTTCTCTCCTTCCTCTTCCTCCTCCCCTCCAGGCACGCCGGCGCCAGCTCGTTTCTTCAGTGAAGAAGGTAGGCGCTGGCTTTCTTGACGCCTGCCGGTCGGTTCTGCCTTAGCGCATTAACTGAGGCCTCAAGTGCTCATGGGAAGGGGGAGAGGAAGGAACTCGAACCTGAAACCGCTTGCTTGCTGTTTTCTGTTGTTGGAGACGGGGCTCCAACAACACCATTGCTCTGCTTATAGGTCCCACGTTTCCGGGGGCTGCAGGAACTGATCATTCCATTATTCCGTTGTTGGGATAGTGTTTTTGGGAGGGGGTAGGAATGACTCTGACACCCTGGAGGAGCAGTTGCCCGCCTCTGTAGTGAAACTGATTTGCCTGGTCAAGACAGAGGAGGACTGTGTTTTAAACTGCCCTTGTTGTTCCTCATTAAATGAAAAACCGGTTTGAATTAAGATGGTAATGTTCACTTGATTTGTTGGATTGTAAGAACCCAGCAGCTGATCAATGGCCCGACTCTTCGTGGCGCTCGAATCATCACTTCCTGCAGCTCTGGGCTCCTCTCCGGTCCGGATTTCCCTTCTCTTTCAGAATGAACTGAACCAGTAGCTGCAGGACCCTGAGGAGGAGGAGAACTGTCCCCCCCCACTGCTTCCCTCATGGTCTCGTACTGTCTGGATGAACTAACTGCGTAACAAACAAAAACAAAGTACACTAACGCAGAGACTGAGAGAAGGTGTTTTTACTTTGGTTTTCATTATTGAAGGGGAGAAAGAGAGAGTCATAGATGGACATGGGCTCTTAAGATGGGGTGCGGGGGATCCCAGAATTTTTTTCTGACAGGCTAACCACCTGGCAAGCGGAGAGTTTGTGTTTTTTCCATGAAAGGGGGTGCAGCGTTTTCACCTGAACGATTTGCCCTGATTGGGTTACTGAAGAGCCAGGGTCTCTGCTGTTACTCCTTGAAAACTCTAGGGCTTTGTTTTTTTTCACCCCAGATCTGTTACTCTCATTAACCTGTTGCGTTAAGTGGACAGAATTAGTATGAGCTTTTGGCCCCTGGACGACGATTTCTGGTTTGGGGTAGTCTGAAAATAGTGGTATCGAGTTCAGTTTTCTGTATCCAGGTACAATTTCATAAAAATTGGTGGTCAGGTGCTCTTTCCAGTCCTCTCGCTCTCCGATTTGTATTTTTCCCCTGGATCGCTGAATCTCAGTCCCAGGTGTTCTCTTGCTGCCCGGCACCAGCAGAGACACCCCATTGCGGCGGCTGCCATGGGAACGGCGGTGCACGGGTTCCGGGCGTCATCAGTCGAGCAGGTGATGGATGTTCCGGGGTGACCGCGGCGGCCTGCAGGTCAGCGTGGGGGCGGCTGGAGCTCCCGTCGGGAGCACACGCCCTCAGCGCCTCGCAGCGGTTCGCTGGCGATTGATTCTCGCTTTCGATTGTGCCGCGTTCCCTTCGCGCCTGCTTCGACCCGGTGGTATGGTTTCTGAGCTGTAAGCACAAGAATCTGCGACGAACCTAGCCGCCTCTCTGTACCCTCCTTGAGCTGCTGATGCCGTTCAGCCTTATTCGCCATTTCGGCTCGGAGCGGACGGGCGACGCTGAGCGCTGGTCCCTGCGCCAGCTGGACTCCTGGTTTCGCCCAGGGCGGGCTGCCTCTCCATTTGAATCGGATTGTCCCTTTCTTAAATAATAGGAGACGTTCCTACAACCTCTTCCCTGCGGAAGGCAGCGCAGTGTGTCCAAATTGTTTCCTCACGGCTGGGATCCAGGATCCTTGTTAAGCGGCGTCTGTGCTTGAGGTCCGATGCTGGGGGGAAAAAAGACCCTGTCTGAGGGTCTCTTTCTCTCCTTTACATTTCAGCGTTTTTTTATTTTTCTCTTTTCTAACGTTAACACCCTGTATACTTTACAAGGCTTAATGTTTCATTGTAACTTTGTAAACTTATTTTCATTTTTAATTTTTTTTTCCTCCGAGTACCTTTATACCTACAGTTTTTAATTAGCAACTGATAATGTATAGTGATGAACGGTTCAGTTTCATACACGCTGTACTGTACGCGGTTTTATGAAAAATTGTTTTTATTTATAAACATAGTTTTATTGCCTAAAGTGTCTGTTTTCTCGTGTCCTGAGAACTTAAAAAGGGTCACAAACCAGTGCATTGAGCCTATAATGGTAGCAGCTAATAAGTCCACACATCTCACCGAAACCTACTTCTCTTTAGCAGCTTCAACAAATTGAAGCGGTGGGACAAATGCTTCTAAGAGAGATCACTTTATTGGCCATATACAATTTCTGGCATTAGGAATTTGTGTTTTTGCATACCCTACACAGGCACACAGACGGGGAGAGAGAAGGGTCAGCCGTTTTATACAGTGCCCCTGGAGCAGCTGGGGTTAAGGGCCTTGCTCTGGGGCCCAATGGGGTGAATTCCTCTGCCGGCCACGGGATTTGAACCAGCAACCTTCCAGCGACAGGCGCAGATCCTGAGCCACAGATCCACCATTCTACTCCGCTTCTACCACGTTAACGTTTGGAGGGAGGTGCCCATCGTAGGGGTTTTATTAAAAAAAAATGTAGAGTATTAAACTCGTGGGTTCGATTCTAGCCTGGGATATTATTTATGGGAGTTTGGAAAGGTCTTGGGTAGATACCCCAGCTTTTTACGGCCTCACAGAGACATGCTGCGGAGATTAAATGTCTCCATGCTGTCCTGCTGTGACTGTCCTCTCCGCATGACTTGCTTCTAAATCCCCAAAAACTTGTAAAACAGCTGGGAAAACCAGGACAGACTGCATTCCTTTTTTTTCTTATACAGAGCCCGTTGTAGAAATGAAGGATTTCAAGATTAGTAATCGGGAAAGTCTGGATTAAATCATGCCTCAATCTATTCACCAATCCACGTGCAGGTTTTAGTCCTGTTGGGCCGTCCAGGGGTTAGAAATGCGTGCCACCCCTCGGCTGGTTGAGGTGACGTCAGCTGTGCCTACCCGCCGACCGGCGCTGATCTAACAAGATGGAGACCCCAGCTCCATACCCCCCTGATCCATGGGACACGGGAGAGGCCGTGCAGACAGGCCGGCGGGACTCCGACACCAGGAGCGGGGCGATGGGCGTCTGCGGCAGGCGGCTGTGCGGAGTCAGCAGAGCTCGGCCAGGAAGGACGCAGGAAGACGGCGGGGTTATCGGGGAGCAGCGCTGCCGGCCTTCCTGCTGAGCACACAGAACTGGAGGCCTGCGGAGAGGACAGCCCTGCCACCGGCCATCGGCTTGGCTTGCGGTGTGCGCTGGCTGGTCCGAGGGAGAGGCACATTCTGTCTGATCATCTCATGCCTCTTATTCATCCCTGGGGGGGCAATTTAAAAAGCAAGTGGCGCAACATCTAATAACAAATAAAACATGACTAAAAAATATACATAAAAACAGCAACAGACTATAATGATTGAAAGTAACATTTAAGAAGGTATTAATGTACATGCATATTTGTAGAGGGGACTCTAATAGACGTTGTATTGATAAACCATTACAGTCGCTGTTCGTGCTCTGGAACAAAGCTCAATCTCATTTGATTTGTCAAGTACTGTGCTCAGCGAAACCTTCCTGGAGGCACAAGTTCAGAGTGAAGGCTATGAGGTGGGTCTTCAGTGACGGCACAGGCCTTCCTGCACATAAAGCTGTGCCAGGGGTCTCAAAGGCCCACCGATGACTTTACAGCACAGCTTCGACGACTGTGCTGACGCAGCTGCCTTTCAACGTCATGGTGAAGAAGAATTCCTCGAAGTTTGGATCGTTTGCCCACTCACAGGGAACATGAACTTGGTTTAGACCTTCATGAGACGAGTTCTTGCACCGGTACTCCCGCTCGGTGTGAGAGAAATGGCAGGTCCAGACACAGTGTCTTTGCTTGGCATGAGGAGCCACGAGAGTGGAGTTGCTGTCTGCGGGATCAGGACCGACGGCTTCGAACTCTGAATCTCCCCTGAGAGAGGCTCACCTGTGGTGTGTGAACTGAACAAGGGTCAAATCAAGTGAACTTCATTTGGCAGGATTGTGCAGGTCTACAGGCACAGAGGGTTAGGGTTAGGGTACTAATCTCATACAGAGCTTATACAGGCATGAATGCTGAATGAAAAACGCCAAAAGCTGTCACTGTAGGTGGTGTTGGGGGATTTCCACTGACTTCCAAACTAATGTTACTAAACCGTGCTCAGGAGCAGTTTTATATGACCTGCCCGCTGATGAGTGTAACAGGACTTCAGTGCTCGGCAGACCTGCTCTGCTCTGGAGGGAATTTGGTGAGGCTCAGGTCACCCTGATCATGCCCACGGGCTAATGGGGTACCCGCCAGAAACAACACCTGCTGTCTTGCCAGGAATCTGGGCTGCCCTAATTCAGGAGCGAGCGGTAGGCCAGAGATCTTTTCCGCACTGTTAAGGCCAGTAGGAAGCGGAGAATCGGCCTCAAACTGCCAGTATAAAAAATAATATACAAATATTATTTAAACTTCAAGAATTGGAGATCACTAATGTTCAGGTACAAATTTCTGCAGAAACGCCTTTTGCACCTTCCAAATGGCTGGTGGCCCCCTTCCTGCTTTTAGTGTTATCTTTAGGCATTCGATATCCTGTTAGGAAGTTCACTGCATACAAGTTGTTTGGAGCCGCGAAGGCTCTAGCACGGGTCAGGTAACTTATTTTGTTATTTTTCATGTTAAACGTTTTTTAGGATTTTAAGGACATGTATTTGATTTACACTTTGTGCAATCTCTAGTTTTTTCACTTCTCTATTTCGCAGTTCACGCCCCAAGGGCCCTACCACATTTCATTAAGGAACGAAGAAAATGTATTTACCCTTTTAATGTTCAATTCAGATCAAGTTGGTCGCGTCTTCGAGGCGGGGCGTTACTGACACCTCCAGCTCCCTCCCCCTTTACGTCAGCCTGTGACGTCACGACGTCGTGACGCCGGTCAGCTGACGGAGCGGCTCTCTGAAGGAGGAAGGAGCGGCGGACATCTTGGATTGGAGAAAGGGAGAGGGAGGGAACGAGTGACGAGAGGCAGAGAGCTGAGGAGCCCCGGCGGCGAAAGGGAAGTCGTACCTTGCACCTTGGGTGAAAGAGCAACGGCTCTGTGCCGAGGAAGGCAAATAGAGAGAGAGAAAGGTAAGAGCGGTGCTTGCCACACGGTAGAAAGACCAACAGTATCGGGCGAGCCGGGACATTATTTTAGTTGATGTAACGGTCAGAGGGAAAAAGCGGTAATCTCAAGAGGGAGTGGGATTGTATTTGAAGGGATTGTTTTTTCTTCCCTGAGCCGGGGAAGGCAGATGAGGAACTGAAAGATGAGTACAGTGAAAGCGCACAGACCACGGCGTCGGTAGGAGGGTGTTTTCCGGCGAGGCAGACATCTTGGTCTGTCATTCTCGCCGCTGTAGTGCTTAGAGCAGCTTCGCCCTGATACAAAAAAAGGCGTTGAGGTGAGATTGTCAGCGCCGAGCCAGGGCGATGCTGGGGCTGCGGTGCTGTCGGGGTGTCCGGGTGCAGCCCTGTGCGGCGGGTGGTGGGGAGGAGAGGGGAGCCGGCGGCGGCTCTCGGGCTCTGTAGCGGACATGTTAGTAACGGATTCGGGGTGACTCGTATCTCTCGGGGGGTGGTTTTCACGCGAGGATCCTGATCACAAATGGTCTTCCCTAGCCACGGCACCCTAACGATTTAATGTTGCAGGTGGCCATCCGAGGCTGTGTGGCGTACTGCGCTGGTCTAAATGTGATGCCGATTCCCCCGCCATTCGGCGATGTCTCCCCAAAGCCCCTGCCCTCCCGTCCGCCCCCAATAACGCGCACACAGTCTGTATTTAAAGCCCCTGTCTGTGCAGCTCCGGACGAGGCCTTTTGCTGTACATGTGTATCACGACCTGCCTATGTGTGTGTCAGTAGGATAATCATGGACGTAATCAGCAGTAAAACTCAACCTTCGGATCGTGCTTTGAAATCGAAGGCAGAGGTAGCGGGAGCAGACATTTTGGAAGTGTCTATCGCGGGATATTTATATATTTAGTACAGTGAGGCTCTTTGCGCATTATCCTCCTCGTAGCACTGACTTGAATTGTGATGTCTGCGAGGCACGTTGCGCCGCAGTCGGTGCAGTGGCTGCACAGGAAGCAGAGGTGATGTACTTTGACTTCGTCTCAAATCTGTAATTTACAAGGAGATTCGTGCTCCGAACAGAATTGTTGAGGAGTGTGACAGTGTCTCCGTTGGTCTGGAGCGGTAGTCTATGAGATGGATTTGTACTGGTGCACAGCTCTGTGTGTGTGGATTTGGATATCCTGTATTTCCAGCCTGGTCCTCAATTTCCTGTATCACCCTGTGTGGGGGTCAGGGTGTGAAGAGGTTGTGTAATTCTTCTGCTGCTTCTCTGTGGAGGTAAGAGTGAGTAACTGTGCCTTCAGTGCCAGGGCAAGCTCCTCCCCTGCTGTCAGCACTATACAGGCTGTGCGTATTTGAACTTCAGACGCTCCATGCCTTCATCTAACCAGTGGGTATGTAGGTTTTATATGGAATTAACCAACTGGAGATTGGCGATTGCAGTCCGCGGTGAATGGTTGCATGAACAGCTGTCTCTGACTTGTTCACTTGTTCAAAAACAGGAGAATCCTTTTCACCCCTATAGCTGTGCATCCTCAAGTTCTGTTTGGTACTGCATGCCAGGAAAGCATAGCATGTACATGTTTGTTCAATTACGTAATTAAGAGTGGAGGTAGATTCAAATCCAGAAGAAACTAAGATGAAACCTTGGGCACTGTACCCCGTGGTGTTCTGCTGCCCATCCCTCTCCTTTCTGTGATGAAGCCGATTTGCCCTCTTCCTGCTCCTCGAGTCTCTCTCCTTGTGGTTTGGAGCTATATGCAAGCCTGAGCTTGATCCTGTGTGGGCTGGCTGGGCCCCTATCAGGTGTGTGAGGCGCAGAGGATGGGGACCCTCAGCTGAGTGGTTCGTGTTGAGTTGTCCATCTTGGCACCAGACAAAATGCACAGTATTTGTTTCAGAAGTGGTCTTCAAGATTTTAGAACATTCAGGATATTCATTGTTTCACTGGAATTGTCTGTGCTCTGCAGTAGCTCCTGCAAGCAGGGGAGTATATCATCACATGAACAGTCCACCTTTCTTCAGCCTCAGCTGTTCCTGGCAAAGTGCTACGATGCAATGATCTGTCCCCTTATCATGCGTCGTTTCTGTTCACTGATAATTCTAATCATCTCGAACACCCTAGTGTTGTCTTACAACATGTCATAGTGTTAATTTGGATGTTTTCCCAGCTCTGATATTATCTGTATAAAGGACACACAATGCTGTCATTTGGCTCTTGTGCAGCAAACGATTTGTTTATCAAACACCCCTGGGATACACACGTTTTCGTATTCTTAAATCATCTGAAATTGAGCTTCTGAATGTGAGAGAGGCCCCAGCAACACAGGATATTAATTCTGCTGAGGCAGCAGACATGCCGGTATTGATGTTTCCTGGCAGTCTCTCTCTAGGATGTTTAATTTGACTGCTGCTGGCCTCATGAAATGTTCTATGTAGATGCCTCATAGACAGTGCTACATGGGTGTGACACTCGGGGGTTAGTGGTATAGAAGACCTGTGCAGCTCTCTCAGTTCAGAGCCCTGCACCTTCCTGGCATGGACCTAGTCTGGGATCAGCACTGGTCCCAGTTGCATGCTGAGATCTGTGATCCCGGATACAGGCTCTCTGTGAGCTTCTCCGCAGGAAAGTTTCTGAATTGTTTTCATTCTTGTAAAAGTCTTTCTCTTCCATTTGTTTGTCCTTAATCACAAAGACCCTGGGCAAATTCTGTCAGTTGTCTTACAGGTCTGGGAAGCAGTACAGGAGACCCGGATGTTTTTGTTTTTCTTAATATTCGGTAGATGGGGAGTAAAAATTTAATGTTTGCCTTTTCTGCTCCACCAGTATAGTTTGTACAAGAACCTGCTGCTAGTGAAACATGGAGTGAATCTGTTACGCTTTCTCCATAGAGGTATATCCCGAATATGTGAACAGGTCTATTCAGAAACAGACATTGGGCCCGTTGCTGAGCTATTAAACATTGTTAAAGCAGGAGTTGGTAAACTAAAAGAACCTTTTTGAGTGAGTTGGGCTGTCATCCACAGTCCCTTACTGCCCTGCTATCCTTAAGATGTTTGTGAGGATGATACTGTTCATGCAAAAGGGCCTATCTCTCCAGTGTTTTTTAGAGCTTTGAGGTGGTTAGGATTAATGGCACAAAATAAAGACTGTTAATGAATTAATGTATAAATAGCTATCCTTTGAAACCTTTCAGTACAGATTCCTCATGTAGGAGCAAGCATACTGGAAACATGCCAGAAAATTGGGCATCAATACCTAACTGATGGCGGGAACCTTATAACCTCCTTGTTATGAGAAGATTAACAAAATTGTCATCCAACCTTTTATGTCAGGAATGCAACCAGTGTGCATTAAAACTGCATATGTATCGGCTTTCGTGCAGACATAGATTTACATGGTGTGAAGTGATCATTCAGACCATGTAACCTTGTTTCCTCTTGTTCAGATCCTAAGTAGCAGAGGATCCATTTTTGAACCCCGCAGCATACAGTTCAACATTGAAACTAAGACCATTGACAAGTAGTATTGACTCTCGACAAGGTAGGACTTAAGCCATTTAATGGCTCTGCCCATAGATGCCAGGAGAATGGGATGTCATGATTTAAAATATCGAATATAATGCTGACATCTAAGAGGATTGATTAGTAGTGCACCTGACCCATTTGCAATGTTCAAGTGCTGTGTCACTATCTGAACCCAGATTGAATGGGTTCAAAAAGATACATTTGTGGCTGATGTGAGGATTAACACTGGAACCAAACATCTTGGTTAGTTTGTTCTATTTCAGGCTTTCTCCAGACTGCCTGCTTCAAGTACATGACCTTATTCTGGGTGAATTTTCACGTTTGGATCTGTGAGGTTAACCCAACATAAGATCTGTTGTTATTCTGCATTAGCAGTAGGAGCCAACAGATAGTAAGACCTGAAATGGATCATTGCTCTGAACTGTGACGGTCTGAACTGTTTCCCTTTCTCTCCCCGTCACTGTCGTTGTTTGATTAATCACAAAACGGGGTGTCGCTGACTGTTCAGCGCAGTGCTGCCAAGCATAAGGCTCAATTGCATCGGCATAACCTCAGTGAGTATTGCCAAAGCTTTGACCATTGTCAAAATACAGGTAACATAAGGTTGTTAATGAAAATAGTCTATTGGTAATATTACCAATCCAGTGATTTCTTTCAAAAAAATTAATAACAAAATGTTGCATTTCACATGAACACCAGTGGTGTGTGTGTGTCGTGTGCAGCTTTCCCTCTCCTGCCAGTGTCTGTGAGGTGTGTCCTGACTGGTGTGTCTGCTGAGTAATCGGAGACAACAGTTGATCTTCCTTTTTCTAAGAACTGACAGTGGAGAGGGTGGCTCCCTTCCTCTCTCCAGCCACTGCCCTGCAGTTCTCCTGCCTCGTGTTCTTTTTCCCTTTGCATGCAGTCTCCTGTTCTCTTTCACAGCTCATGCCTGTCTCCTGCCATTACACACCATTGTCTGGTTCTTCTCTCCTTTACCCGGTATTTTCTTCCCATGTGTAGCCCCTCTTTCTTGCATTTGTCACACTTTCGCCTTCTTTATCTGCAGCGTAGGTGTTGTAATCAAATCAATGCGTATATGTGGCCTGTCTTCTGTTTTTTCCGGGAGCTGGATTATGGGATCAGACAAGGCGTAATCCTTGATAGGGAGGGGTAGAATTTCACGTGTTGCTTTAGAACGAGGTTCTGGAAAATTGAATTAAACCAATTAAAGGTACTCTCCCACCTTACTGATCTTTCCTGTGACAGTGTTAGTGTAGACGATTGCACTTTGCAGTTGCCAGCCAAATGAGCAGAATGTGCCTATTGGCCTTCTTATGCTTGTAGCTGTTTATATCCTGTTCAGTGGTTTTCTTCTTTTTTTTTTTGTTTGCATTCTATTTAAGTGTACAGGAGTGCTATGTGTCCATAAAAATGTTATCGATTTAAGTGGTCTGTTGTTCTTGGGGTCTTATTACATTGGTGTACTGTATGTCACTCTGGCCAGAAGCTTCCTTTTAAACAATGCAATTAACTTGTTTTTTTCCTTTTGTCTCTTTTCACTTCTCTCCTCCCCCCCCCCCCCATAAATTGCACTCTCCATGTTCTGGCATATTGTTCCTCCATTTCCTGTCTTCAGGCTGCTGTGATAATCATGGGCCTTGATGACTGAGGCAGTCTCACCATGATCGGAGGACTGTTCATCTACAACCACAAGGGGGAGGTACTGATCTCCCGGGTGTACCGCGATGACATCGGGTGAGTGGGAGGCCTGTGAGGTGGGGGGCGCTGTGATGCAGAGGGCCTTCATTGTTAAGACCTGTTGTAGAATTTGTCCTGTTCTGAAATGAAAATAATATTCTCTAGTAATATTAACAGAGCATATTTTGAGAAATATTTGACATGGGTGTAACATCTGTTTTGATCTCTGTAGTCTGGCAGAACCAGATGACCCATTTCTGGTGTTCTGTATAGTGTTTAGTTCTGCAGTATGTGGATGTCCATCTCGTACAGACTTCCTCCAGCCCCTGCTTCTGGTCAGTCAGGTTGTAGGCATAGACGTTTATCCAAAGCTGCTAGAACTGTTTATCAGCAGTTACTGGGGTAGTATCTGAACTGTGAGCCTTCTGCTAACTATACTTTGTCCTTCACTCCTGTAAAACTCCAGCAGTTGCATTTGTAAAAGACCTCTTCCAGCCATAAATGGAGAGGCTCTCTCTTTCTCAAGCAAGGTGTGGTGTTAATGGCAGAAACACTTTTATTTTGCATCAGTTTGATTGAATCCACCTATTATCAGCTGCAAGGGATCTTCTATGTATGTTTGTACAGCTCTGGAGTATTAGTAACAGATTTAGAAGCGGTTACAGTAAGGTTATAGTTGTTAACCTTACTACAAGTTCACTGTTTAAAATGTTTCCTTTTTCTGCTTCATTGGCACAGTCAGCATAAGAGTTCCACAGCACGTAACTCGATCAGGATCAGTGCCCTTTGCAGTGCAGTGTCTTATCCGTTTCCTCTACCGATATTTGAATAAAGTAGAGGAAACAGTGCATTGAAAAGAACTTGAAGCAGTTTTTATTTACTCAAAGATGTGGGGAAACTTGTACAAGCTTCCCAGCCACATTGTCAAAGCTTGTACTTGGCTGCTTTCAAGAAATACCTGGATGAGTTTCTCACATCAGTTAGTTGCTAGTAACCCAAAAATCATGATGGACAGAATGGCATGCTCCGCTTTTCTGACCTTTCTCATGTCGTATTAGCAACCTGTGTTTATGGAGTGAAGCAGTCGTGTGCAGGTCGGGGCACGCAGGCTAGGAAGACTGTCTGGCTGTGGGGGCCTGGCTTTTCCCTGTTAAGAGCTTCTCCACCCCTCTTGCTCCAGCCTCTTTGTATTGTTTCCCCTCTGTGCAGCAGTGCCCTAAGCTATTCTACCTTGCATTCTTTACAACATATACAGTGGTCACATGATGGATTTTTAAAAAATATTTCAATATGGAAATAATGTAGAAAAGTAACTCTGAAACAGTAAGAACATGTTAAAAATTCACATTTCAAACAAACTTACTCTCATTTGTATATCTGCTTAAAAAGACATTTAAAAAGGACTTTTCAATAAGGATTTATAAAGGATGCAGAGGATGTAGTGCAGTATAGGAGCAGTGAGTGGGTAATCAGAATATCTTTAGCAGAAGAGCCAATCAGATGTTTTGTCTGGGGCCAGATAATTGTAAGGTCTTGAAGGAGCTAGTAAATTCCAGAGTTTGTTTTGACAAAGCCTTTTTTGTTTTTTCTATTTTGTGACAGACCTAAGCTTTCCATGCATTTTGATTGACACTTGTAATTTGACAATTACAGATGCATTCATGAAGTCTGTCTAAAAGTGTCAAGACTGTGATCCATTGTGACATTTGATTAATCACAGTTGTCACTGTTAGAGTGCATGGGGAGGCAAGAATCTGTGTTAAAAATCAAATGACTTCCCAGTGCAAAATCTGTTATTCCTTGCATGTTCTGAAAGATTTCTAATTATGTAATGGGTCTAGAGAGCTGTAGTCCATATCATCCCCGAGCAATGTCTGCAGGGCTCTGGTAACAGTGTTGTTTTGGAGCTTCAGCAGCAGTCCTAGGGTCTGGCACTGCAGACTGGAACAGGGGTGACTCTGTGAACTGTGCTGACATCTTTCTCTATTTACTGTTTTGGGCTAGTGGGCCAGGGGCTGGATTGTAGTTCCTTCTGTATTAATTCTTCAAAACTACAACCTTGAAGTGACAAGATGTAAAATGGAAACTTGCTTGAGCATTCAAATTTAAAGTTTTCTTTTTGGTGGCAAAAAGGAACGTTAGAAACTCAGGGAAGTAGTCATGACTCCCCATGGAACTATGACCGAGTACTGCTTCCCTCTGTTTTTCTGGCTCATTATCTGTGGTTGTTACTGTTGGATAATGTACAGTTCTTATCAACATGGGTGGGCTCATCTCTTTGCATCTGGTTCTCTGCAAAAAAGATAGTCGTTAGAAATTAAAATTGAAGCTCCTCTCCAGCTGCATAGTATACAGTAGACTAGCCATATCAGTTTCAGTATGTGTGGACATATCTCACTCTTTTGTGCCTGAAGACTGGTGCTCTGCACTGAGCAGTCCTGCACTAACAGCTGTGGATAAACTGATAGGACTCATATTGCACAGCAATCCGATCTACTCCAGCTTTTTCCAGCTGCAGGCTTCTGTATGTGAGGTGCCACTAGGTGCTGGGTGAATCCTTTTTGTTTCTTTAGCTTAAAAAAATAGGCTTACAAAGATTTCATCTTAAAACACGATCAGTATATTTACTCATGTTTCATCAGTGCCTATATAAGCAGGCTTCAGACATTAAAACCTGGAGTATACTCTGCAAGTCAGGTGCTGGCTGCATGGGCCTCCTTCAGTCTTAAATGTGGATCTGTTAGTATAGAACACACATTGTATGTTAATCGGCACTGTGAGCTTCTCCCCCACAAAAAAATGAACTGAAGCTGTTTTCTGTAGTAAGCTTTTTCTGTTGCCCTGTGCTTTGACACTGATCTGTGCTGCAGTGCAGTGCCGCACACTTCCTTTTCTGTCCCCGATCCTCACCGTGTTCAACCCCTGGATCTGTTCGTTTTTGTGCTGTCTTGTAGTGAGCTGTTGCCGTCTTCTGTCATGAAGATGGCGGTCTTTCTTTTATTTTTTTAAGGGTGATGTCGCTGTGCTTTTTGTGAGCCTACGTGGGTGTGTGTGATAGCCTTGCATACATGTGTGCGTGCTTGTGGTTTTCTCTAACCCTCTCTCTTGATCTGTTACTCCTCTCCCTCCTTCCTTCCCTTCGCTGGTGCCATTTCTGTCCATCTCCATCTCTCCATTGGCTGCTGTAGGAATAGGTAAGAGCCACATGGCATCTGATGATTGCCTAAAGCATGCCCACTGCAGTGCCCCTCTCCCCCCCCACCTCCTGGGCACAGCTTTAGGAAGGCAGTGCGTTCCCCCTCCCTGTGTCATGGCATGGTGCCACGGAATGACTGACACTTGTTTTCAGCGTTTTACAAATGGTCACACGGAAAACGAAGAGAGACCCCCATAGCACAGCAGCCTCGTCCATTTTGGGATTCTCACCAGCATAGCCTTTTGTCCTGATTTGAACACATGCAGGTATTCATTTTTGTTTAACCACAAGCGCCCTTGCATATGTGTTCAGAATGTTTGGGAACTTCTGTTGAATTGAAATGTCCGTGCCACACCCAGTTACCCTCATCACAGCACTCCCTGAATGCCATCATGGGATGGTATTCAGCTCGGGTACACTGAAACCTTGTGGAAGCAACTCAGTACTCCCCCTTCAAACTCCGCTTACTGTTTGCAGATGCTCAACATGGTACTTGTTGGGCAGTTTCTTTTAGTTTTGACAGCCTGTGTAGTCAGTGGCTGGTGAATCTGGACTGGAATGGATCTGGCTGATGTGCAGAGGGTCATTATTTCCTCCCCTGGTAACTGTTCATTGTAACACCGTTGCAGCTTTGGATTGGTCACACTATTGTGCTCCCTAGGCACTATAAGGGGCAGGGTGACCCCCTCCCAGAACTATTTCTGTTTTTGATGACTCTCTCCTGCTGCTATTGAACTATAATTATTTTTTTTCCTTTTTGTCTGTAAAGTGACAACAGAAGGCTGTGTGTGAGGACTTGTGTATCAGTATTCTGGTTCACCATCCTTGATCCAGCTCAGTTGGCTCATGCATTCAGTTCTGTCAGGAGTATCCAGCTCCGCTCCTGAAAGGCTGCAGGCAGAGAGGGCGGTTTTACTAGATCTCTAAACCAAGCCTTCTCAATGGTGTGTGAGTGGAGACCTGATTTGGGAAATTGCTTTGAGTAATAAACATCAATTGTAGCACAAAACTAAAAAAAGTTTCCACTTAATAATGATAGTTAATGGATGGAAAACAGTACAGTTAAGGGCTCAGATTGTGGCAATATTATTGGAGCACCTCTAGGACCAATGCTGCTCTTAATTTATATAATTCATCTAGATTGGGTTGACCAATCCTTGTCCCAGAGAGCCAGGGTTCGATTGGTTTCATTTACCACTCTTAAATCAATTTCTAAACATGCAAAACTTTTTTTCCTAAGTTAGGTGGTTTGTGTAAGCATTGTATCAAGACTAAATTAGAATATCCATATCCTATAGCTCTTAAGGACAGAGACTGGCCAAATGTGGTCTTAATTGGATCACTTCATTTACTAAATTGACCTAACCAATCGAGTCAACTTGATAAGTACTAACAAGTGATGTTGGGGGTGAGGGTGACCTATAAAACCTGCTGCATTATGGCTTTCCAGAACCAGGGTTGACCACCCCTGATCTAGATTCTGATGTTGGAAGCTAGTCAGGTTTACAGACAATACTATAATAGGATTTGCAAACACTGTAGAAGCTACAAAGGAAATTTAAAAAGATCAATAAAATTTGGGACTGGGGAAAGCACCTGGCACCTGTGTTTCATGTAGGTAGCAGAAACATAAACAATAATTATGAATTGGGAAACTGAGTTTGAAGACGATACACGCATAAAAAGATTTATGCGTTTACATTGACATCTTTCCACCTAGTTTTGGAGCTGGGTCTCGTCTGTCTGCACAGCATGTTAACTGGAATTGTTGAGCAAGGGGCTGGCAGTGTTCGTGGATTGACTCACACTACTGCTGTACTCGGCAGTAATGACAGCTGTTCACGGTGCAGACTGCTCCTTGGGTTCGGAGCATAACAGAGGCAGGGGGAAGCACTTCCTCTTTTTCAGTATTTACTGGACAGCCATTTGTTACAGTTCAGCTCTCGGTCATATCCAATCAGATGCTTACAAGTCAGCAGATTCTGGTTTGAAGACCCTGTGTGAATAAGAGGGGTGAGAGCAAGACTGCTGTAAGAATATGTGTGAGATCTAACATACTGGTACTTCACACTCCGGTTCTCAAAATTCTGAATTTAATCACCTTTTACTTTTTGCATTGATCTATCCTCATTTTCTAGTGGGGGATGTGCATGACTCAGCCCTCCAGCTCCCCAGTCCATATCAGGAAATGCAAGCTGTGGTTTGATTATGGATGTGAGTGACCGCTGGGGTTTTGACTTGGTCTTTTTTTCTCTCACCTTTTCTTTCTTCATCCTTCTTTCCTTGTCCTTGTTTTCCCTCCCCCCCCCCCACTTGGCCAAACAGGATCCGCAGCAGATCCCAGACACAGATGTGGTGGGAGACCCCCCCCCCCCCCCCCCCCCTCTTTCCCAGACGGAATGCTGTGGATGCGTTCCGCGTCAACGTCATCCACGCCCGGCAGCAGGTCCGCTCCCCCGTCACCAACATTGCGCGCACCAGCTTCTTCCATGTCAAGCGCTCCAACATCTGGCTGGCGGCCGTCACCAAGCAGAATGTCAATGCCGCCATGGTGTTCGAGTTCCTCTACAAGATGTGCGACGTCATGACTGCCTATTTTGGAAAGATCAGTGAGGAGAACATCAAGAACAATTTCGTCCTCATCTATGAGCTGCTGGATGGTAACGCAGTGCTCCTTTTTTCTCTTTCTGGGTCTCTTTGTAGGTCTCGCGCTCTTTTTTACATGTCTCTGGGGGTTTGCCACTGTCCCTGTGTACGTGGCTTTGTCTTAGTGGAGATACCCCTCTTTATAGGTGTGTCTTTGGGCCCTTATCTCTGTATAGGGTCTCTATGGACTATACCCTGTGGTTTGTAGGTCAGTCTATGTGGGCACTCTTGTCTCTGTAAGTATGCCGTTCTGAGGGTCTCTTGGGTCATCTCACTGTCTCTGTTTTGCCTTTAAGTTGCCAAGCTTCTGTGGCTTGTCCGTAGTGGTAGTTCAGCTGCAGTGAGAGAGATGCTGGTATTGTGGTGCCTGTTCTCTGTGGTTGGATAGCCTGCTCATTCCCAGGGGGTGAGGAGAGGCCTGCTTTTTTGTACACTTTTTAAAGGCATTATTATATGATGCATCAAGTGTTTCTGCTTTGCTGTAGTTTTTTTAGGTTTTGATTTTTATTGAATTCAGATGAGAAAACCAAAACCTAAAGAAAATATTGCACAGCCAGACTGTCCATCAGTGGCCATCTGAAGGAGATTATTATACTTTTTATTGGTTTTTATTAATTTGTACCCTTTATTACTCTTAGACTCTCTCTCAAATCACCACCCATTCCCTCCCCCACTTCCTGTATTTTTTTCTTGTCATACTCCTCGCTACAAGTCGTTTTTGTTAATTGCTGTAGGTTTCTCATTGAACAAGGAGGGCTCTTCCACCGGCCAGCATTGTTGTGTTACATGGTTGGCCCATTAGGTTCTGGTAGAAAGGGATTTCAGATTTCTTTTTTTGGCATTGTTTGTTACTGTGTTGTTAAAGTGGAGTTTCTGGGAGGTATTGACAGAACCCAAGATTGGTCCCACATGAAAGATCTCCTTTTGGCTTATCTAGCTCGTTCAGTCAGCTAGTAGCTTGTTGCTCTGAAGACCTCGTCAAGGTGCTTTTTGAAGGATTTCAGTCAAGTGGGTTTGTTCAATGTAGGGCCAAGAGTGAGAGGGAGTGGGGAATTAGGGGGCTTTGAACAGGCATCCTGTCCTCTGCTTTCAGCCTTTGTGTTTTCCAGTCACATTACACATTTGTAGGAAAGGAACCCTTTTAATTTGACCTTATAGTTCTGTGCTTATTTTGCTGTGAAAGGTGGTGCAAATTGATCCTGCAGCTCTGAGTCACTCTGAAATTCCAATCTTCAGTGAGTGTGTTCTTCTGTCCGATGGATCTCCGGTCTGTGTGTGAGTCTACTGTGTTGCTATCTGTATGGAAGCTCCTGCTGAGCAGGGGGGACATCCCTCAAAATGGACATAACTTGTATTTAATAAAACAAGCCGTGTTTTGAATCTGAATGTGCAAAAAGTATTTGCTCTTGGTTTGTTTTCATGCAGTGCTTTTTTTGAGTTGAGTTCAGAATCGTAAATAAAGGAATTGTGAAGTCCTCGCCTTTATATGAATACAAATGTGTGCACATCTGCATCTGCGTTGGCTGTGCTGGTGTTTGTATTGTGTGCCTTTCTAGTTTGTGTGCTATCCTGCGTTTGAAAGTCTGATGGTTGGTGTTTTAATGGGTGTAAAGTTTGTGAGGGTTGGATGTCTGTGCTCATAAGTGCCCTAGAGGTGTAGTGTGTGGAGTGAGGGATTAGTATTGGTGTGCCAATGAGGAATATGTGTATATGTGTGACCGATTCCACCCCTGTGTATCCTAACCTTTCACCCTGCCATCAGCCATGCTGCAGAAATGTCTGCTTGTACCCTATCCTATTGTGAGGGTTTGATACCTCTCAAGAGGAGCGGGCGCACTGAGTGTCTTGAACATTCGTCATGATGAAAATTACTTCACATTGAACTGGTATCTCAGAAGTAGTCCTTCATCAGTGCCGTCTGTTTTATACAACAGGGAGAATGGTGGGGTGGTTTACAGGGAATAGGGTGTCAGGCTCAATTGGAGAGACTTGGAAGAGCCTGTGTAAGCTCTGGCTTTATGGCAGGGGCTTGCTTGCTTCAGACAGCTTCAGTGTAACTGTTTTTTTTCTCTTTGTCCTCAGAAATCTTGGATTTTGGATACCCCCAGAACTCTGAGACTGGAGCCCTGAAGACGTTCATCACGCAGCAGGGAATCAAGAGCCAGGTAAGAGCTGGGAGGGGCAAAGGAGCAGTTAGTGATATTCAATACAAAAGACAAGTAGCTTTAGCCTCTGTTGTGTTACTTCTCTCAGCACAGTCCCCCCTCCTTACTTTCTGGTCCTCGTTCAGTTCTTTCAGTGCCTGCTTTGTCTTCTCCTCCATCTTGTTTATTTTGATTTCCTTTCCTGCCGATTGACCTCTCATTCCCCCTTCTACACAACGAACAGGACACTTTTGTTATCATGGGTGTTGCTTTTAAGAATTGTCTTTGTTGATGTAATCGGTGGCAATGCAGTTCAGTTTGGGATCTTCCGATGATTTCTAAGAGCTTGAGAAATTACTGAAAGATTGCAAACTCAGAATGTCTGTGAATACAAGGAGAAATGACCAAATATGGGTTTACCACATGCATGTTTATTACATCAATGCTGTCCACAATAAAAAGGTAAAAAATTAAAAGATAGAGGTAAAACCTACTGTGCCCTTCAGAATTATTGGCACCCTCAGTACAGATAATCAAAAAAGGCTATGTCTATCAGCTTGATCTTACGCTGAAAATATGACAGAAATCTAACCTTTCAGTGAGGTAAAATTGTTCAAAGAAAAAAATCCTTATAAAAAAAACTTTTTCTCAAAAACACGTCACAATTATTGGCAATTTCTATGAACAAAGTCTAATTGACATATATTCCCTTCATATTTGACCTTTTTTAAGCACACCTGAGTCTTCAGGAACTCTTAAGTGGTCATCCACAACTTCCTGTTACACTGGGGTATAAATATGAGGTGACACACCGGGTTCTATGGTCAGATGAGACGGAGAGCTTTTTGGCAACAAACGCCAGAGGTGGGTTTGGCTTAAAAAGAGTCAAGGTCATGCAGAAAAGAACCTAATCCTCACTGTGAAGTATGGTGGTGGATCTGTGATGTTGTGGGGCTGTTTTTCTTCCAAAGGCCCTGGGAATCTTGTTAGGATACATGGAATCATGGACTCCATCAAATACCAGGAGATTTTATATCAAAAACTGGCTGCCTCTGCCAGGAGGCTAAGACTGGGTCATGGTTGGATCTTCCAGCAGGACAATGATCCAAATCCACACAAAAAGGGTTCACTGACCACAGAATCAAGCTGTTGCAGTGGCCATCCCAGTCCCCTGACCTGAACCCCATTGAAAACCCGTGGGGTGAGCTGAAGGGGAGAGTCCACAAGCAAGGACCAAGGGCTCTCAAGGATCTGGAGACATTTTGTATGGAGGAATGGTCTCAGATTGCTTTATACATGTTCTCCTGCCTCATCCAGCATTATTAGAGAAGACTCAGTGCTGTTATCTTGGCAAAGGGAGGGTGCACCATGTACTAAATGCAGGGGAGCCAATAATTGTGATGTGTTTTTGTGAAAGATTTTATGATGATTTTTTTTCATTTAATTTTACCTCACTGAAAGGTTAGATTTCTCTCATTTTCAGTGTAAGATCAAGCTGATGAAGACATTTTTTCATAGCCTTTTTTGCTCATCTTTACCAAGAGTGCTAATAATTCTGGAGGGCACTGTAGTATCACACTCGGTAATAGTTGTTTAACCTGTAAATTTAGGGTTGAGTTTCAGTGAACTATTGGTACACCCATCCTCCCTGGGGACCAACAAACAACTGACATTTGTGCTTCTTGAAGGTTTTAAACCACTTCCCTCTTTTGTCTCCTTTCTGTACTTCTCCATGCTCCGTGGATCCTTCCTGCCTGTTGGGAATGACATGGACTCCAGCACCAGGTAAGATCAGCCTCCTTGCTGTATGTACACCTAACCTGGCAATCACCAATTCCAATACCAGCTTGCCTAAGAATAACGCTTATATCCTCTAACAATAGAGCAGTAGTCAGTTGTATTATCTGTGCTTTGCTTTATATTGTTCCATCTTTTCACATTTGTCTCATGCAGAGAAATTTGATTTTTCACCGCAACGACAGCACATTATTAGTTCAAACTGAAGGCCTTTCTGATGACACATTCCTAGTGAACATGTTTTGCAAAGAGTAGAGCTGAGCAAACCATAACCAGTGTATGTGGCTTTAAGTGAAAAGCCACATGAGTGTTCTGAGGAGCTACACTTCAGACTCTGGTACTGAACCCCTTTTCTCCAGTGGAGTGACTCATTTGCTTTAACTGGCTTGGAGAATAGCTATTTGGTGGGGCATGTTCTCCAGAGCTGGAGGTATTCCACCTGTTCCAGCTCACCACAGTTAAGAATTTGCTCGAAGGTTCAGAATAGTGCATGCTTGTTACTGAGGTTTTTCAGTTGGCTTTGCTGGTTATGTATTTCAATATATACCCAGTAGGTGGTGCTGTTTGATCTATTTGCTGTAATGCTGCACTAAAACAACCTGAACAATTCATTCATAGTTATTGCCCATAAAATGGCATGTTGGATTTGTTTGGATTTTGATTGATCTGATATTGTTGGTTCATGCTATCTAGCCTTCACATGATGTCACTGTGGCTTTTGGCCAGAACAGCATTACTAATTTAAGGTACACTAAGACTAATACCACACAGCAGCATAGTGGCTCAACTAATTTCCTCCTTTCCTCCTGTTCCCTCTTTCAGACAAAGGAGGAGCAGTCTCAGATCACCAGTCAGGTGACTGGGCAGATTGGTTGGCGCCGTGAGGGAATCAAGTACCGCCGCAACGAGCTCTTCCTGGATGTGTTGGAGAGTGTTAATCTGCTCATGTCACCACAAGGTAAAACTCAGTGCTCCCCCGTCGCCCCCCACAGGGTGTTTAACGTCCTGTGCCTCCTGTTGCCTTCCATACAGTGTTACATGCCCTGTGCCCCATCACTGTTCTCTTTGCTGCTGTTCCAGTCATCACATCCGGTTTTTCCCTATTCTTCAGTAGCAGAACTGCAGAAGCCAAGTGTCATAGCTTGACCTGTACGTTAACGCCCCTTTCCCTGTTCCCCTCTTTTCTCTCGTCCCCTTGACTTCCCCCTCCTGTCCTGCCCTGTCTTCTCTTCCGTGTCGCCCCTCCCCAGGTCAAGTCCTGAGTGCCCATGTGTCCGGCCGGGTGGTGATGAAGAGCTACCTGAGCGGCATGCCGGAGTGTAAGTTCGGGATGAACGACAAGATTGTCATCGACAAACAGGGCAAGGGCACCGCAGATGAGACTGGCAAGAGGTGAGAGGGCACGCATACGGTGGCCTTAGGACTGCTGACACCGCAGACACATCACTCGGAGCACATGTAGTCTCATGTCTCTGCTGGATCAGCACACTCGCAGCACTGTGGTCAGCAGGGCACAGCGTCGATTTTCACTTTGTGCCAACACCTGTCATAGAGAACAGGCATGATACTCTGTTACGTGGAACTAAGCCTCAGTAATTACGGGAAAGGTTTATTTAGGCTTATGGCTTCGTTTACACATGTTTCTTTCTGTGCAGTTGAAAGACTCACTTAACCCTGCCTCTCAAAGTATCTCAGTGTCCAGTGTCAGTTCTGACACGATTCTCTTTGCATTTCTGTTATTGTTTCCAGTTTAAGTTGTACTGTTCAAGTTTTAAAGTCCCGTCTTTTATTACCTTTAAGGTTTTTTTTTTAAATGTTAGCAGGATGAATGATTTACTATTTATCTTGTGTCATCACTGACCAGTTGGAGCTCTTTAACAGGCACAGTTGCAGTTGCTGAATTTGTGAATAGCCCTGTTTCAGGTACTCCTTGTCTGGTGCAGCATGTGAAGTTTATTTCAGCAGCACATCTGACTGCAATGCCAGCCCCTCTGCTGTTCTAAACGTTGGTTTCCATTCACCCTCTCTTTGGCAGGCTGTTCTAATTTTTATTTCTGCTAACGTTCTCACCCTGTGGAATATGCCATGCTGTAGTTTGCTGTGTAGAGTTGTAAAGCTGTTTTATTTTCAGCAATGCTGGGTGCATTTTATTGTGTGGCAAATTCAGGTTCTTTTGATTTTTCTGTTATTGTTTATTTTGTTTTCTCCCCTCTCTGTGTGCTGGACCGCAGTGAGTTGGGGGGCAGGTAGCGTACCTCTCTGTGTGTGGGTGTACGCGTGTCAGGGTGTGTGTGTGTTGGGTGTGTGCGCATGCATGCATTAATTCTTATTGTGCTGTTTTTGTGCATGTGCACAAACCCACCTCAGCTCACATCTCACATTTGAGTTCCTTCTGTATATTTTAGAGTAAACCATTTTTATTGCCCTGCAGCTGTGATCAGTGTTGGTCTGCTTGATTGCCTCCCCTTCACCCCTTGGCTTCATTATGCTTGTCCCTTAAGCTTAACCTGAATGGACACACCTGTAGGTTGCTTTTAGAGCAGGACAGAGGTTGGTGCAAGGTATCCCTTGTCTATAAAAAGAGCTTAGCTCAGACAAACTGATCTCAGCCAAAACACTTTCCCATCACCCTTCCACATTTGACATGTGTTTAGTACATAAACAGGTTTCAGACCTCCATTGATACACAAAGCTGAGCTACAATATGTGGTGATTTATTTGTGCTCAGTTTTGGGACTTTCCCGGTCTTTAGTCCTTTGTCAGCCTGCTATGTCCTCAAGGTTTGTGCTCAAGATTCAGATTTGATTCCATCAAACATTTTTCAATAATAGATCATCCTCACTTTGTAAGAGCTGCACTAGGCAAGATACCTTTATTGTACTTGTATCAGGATGAAAGGAATAAAAACCAATTAATAATGTAGTGTAGCTTTTATATGATATTTAGCAGATACATTATCTAAAGCCACTTGCAAAGTAACAAACCATGGGATCAACAACGGCTTCTGACACTGACAGGATATCGGCTTGACATCAGGTTTGAGAGATGGAGCTTAACTATTTCACTGACTTGGGGCCACACACAAGTAGCTGGGGGCAGAATGAATCTCAATCAAGGGAGGTTGACTTCCATGGCTGTTTAATCACTGGCCCTGTAGATGGCTGATGAGGCTAATCTGGGATTGTCAGGCTTGGCTTTGGTGTGTTTTTGGATATTGTAGGCAGCCCTGGGTTGTTGGTTTGGTCTGTCATATGTGGTGTCTGCTGCCCCCACTTTTCTGCTTTTTTTATCTGTAGGTTTTCCAATTGCTGAGGTCCTTGTACACTTTCCCCCTCTGGGGGGACATGCCCAACGATCTCCCATAAATTGGTGTTTCATTTCCTCACGTCAGCCTTGAAAACCTTTAGCTTGTTCTCTGCCCTTCTTTTGCTCCTTTCCCTTGTATGATCTGGGAGAACATAACTTGCTTTGAGAGTCTTGAGCTGGATGTCTTGGCAATGTGATTGGTCCAGAAGAGCTCATATTGGATGATTGTGGCCTCGATTCACATGGTATTTGCTTGAGAAAGGTTTCTAATGTTGGTGTGTCCATCTTCAGACCGATTTCAAAAGTTTTTCCACAGGCAACCTTGATGCCACATCGGTGTCTTGATGCATCTCCTGTAAATGATCCTGTGTGTTGATTTTTTAGCACATTTTTCCTCTGAGCAAAGGCTGCACTTTCACATATGTTGAGATAAACACTGATTTATTTGGCGGTAGAGTGGGTATCCTGTTCCCAAGACAGTCCTCATTAACTGTGAAGACCCCAGAGCATGTTGGAAAAAAATCACGCTCTGCTGCTCACTGACTCGGGTGCTTTCCGTAATCAGGGCTGTGTTTCAGTCTTTGTATTTCCTCTTAGGCTGAAACAGACAAGACCCATTAACTTTGTGTGCAGCATTTATCAGGAGCCTTGTCCCATCACACAGTGGTCCTGCTGTGTGATGTGAGGGTGTCTGGTGTTGTGACTGTAATTTCCTTTTCCTCCTGTATCTCTGAGCTGTTTTGTCTTCTACTGCACAGACATAGGGTACAGAGAATTATGATCTGAAGGTTTGTAACATTCTCTCTCCCTCCCCCCCCCCTTCCATTTTCTCTCTCATGCTACGTTTCTTTCTCTCCTTCCCTCTCCCTGCAGCGGGAAGCAGTCTATTGCAATCGACGACTGCACGTTCCACCAGTGTGTTCGTCTCAGTAAGTTTGACTCTGAGAGGAGCATCAGCTTCATTCCCCCTGATGGCGAGTTTGAGCTCATGAGGTTTGTCTCCTCTTTTGATGTCATTTGCCTTTGCTGGCATAATGTTCGGCTTCAGCCTGCCCAGTTTTAGTGCATTTCTATGAACCGATTTCTGTTGACCAGGCCTGAAATATATATAGCTGGAGGTGGGGAGCAGGGATCTACTTGCTATCGCTCCCTACTTTACTACATTTCTTGCTTGCCTTCTTGCACAAGGTCTGCCAAATGTAACATTGCCAAAGCAGAATTGCAGCCGTTTAGGATTTTCATGTCTGTCTACGCATATTGGTTTAAATTAACAGTGTTACCAACAGCTTTTCGCTTAGACAAAAGTCTAAATCTTACCTGTGTGTGTATGTGGGCTACAGGTATCGCACTACCAAGGACATTATCCTGCCCTTCCGGGTCATCCCATTAGTCAGAGAGGTTGGCCGCACCAAGCTGGAGGTCAAGGTCGTCATCAAGTCAAACTTTAAGCCCTCCTTGCTGGCCCAGAAGATTGAGGTGTGTGCCTAGCTTATTAAATTGCTTCACAATGCTGAATGTTCTACTATATGTGCTAGAGTAACAGTGCAATAAAATAGTCCCTTTACCATGGAGGCCTGTCTTAATTATGTAGAACAGTTCTGTTACAGTAGCAGGCTATAGTAACTTTGTAATAGACATATTCCATTCCCAAAGCTATGCAGCTTATAAACCAGGAATTTTAAAGGCAAGAAGTCAGTCTAGTGAATGGCAGGTCTTTGAGACCCCTGTTAAATCCTGAAACTTATCTCTCCCTCTCTGCCCCCCAACTTGTTTTTTTTGTTTACCTCCAGGTCCGCATCCCCACCCCTCTCAACACCAGTGGAGTGCAAGTGATCTGCATGAAGGGCAAAGCCAAGTACAAGGCCAGTGAGAATGCCATCGTCTGGAAGTGAGTGCTCTGAACACCTAGTACTAGTTCAGTACTTGTACACGGCAAGATATCTGAAGTGGCCTTCAAAACTAACAAAACAAGGTTGATGAACTAACAAAATAGCTTAGAGTAGGACCAATATTAATTATTAGTAATAATAATAATTCCTTAGGCTTATAAAGGGATACTCCAATCACTGATTCCCAAACTGGTAGCACAAAAACCAACCAAGGGCCTTTGGAGTTTTGCCTGGCCCTGTGGCCTCAGTGTCCTCACTAAGACTTTCTCCAGGGCTGTGGTTAATTTTCTTGGCTGTGTGGGTTCAGTGTACGAGAGCCTATTTCAGGAGGCAACTGTAGAGTTTGTGTTCACACTGTGTTGATCTATGTGGAATAGTGATTTCCCCCACCCCCCCCACTTTTCCTCTCCCACTCCAGGATTAAGCGGATGGCAGGCATGAAGGAATCCCAGATCAGTGCAGAGATCGAGCTGCTGCCTACCAACGACAAGAAGAAGTGGGCTCGTCCCCCCATCTCTATGAACTTTGAGGTGTGTGTGCCTTTTTTGTCTCATGCTGTCAGTCAGAGTTGCATCTGTCACTCTGTGGGTCAGGCCAGTTAGGTATTTCCTGCATTTATTAATGGTTTCCTCCCCTGGTCTTTCACACAGGTCCCCTTCGCTCCCTCAGGGCTCAAGGTGCGCTACCTGAAGGTGTTCGAGCCAAAGCTTAACTACAGCGACCATGACGTCATCAAATGGGTGCGCTACATTGGGCGCAGCGGCATCTATGAGACACGCTGCTAACAGCTCGAGAGGGAGAGAGAGGGAAGGAGTGAGGGAGAAGGAGAGATCTGGGGGAGGGAGGGGAAGGCAGCAGGGTTCCCTGTTCGCATCACATCATGTCCTCTGCTCTCCAGATCCCTTCCTCCCTCACACCTTTACCCTCTGTCCTTGAGTGCTGGCAACAAGTTTTACAGAGAAATGATATATAAATGCAAAACTGGTCCTGTGGAAAATGTTCCATCACTGAAGAATTCTGAATGACAGATCAGGACTCTCTCTATGCCAGGGGGTGTGTACCAGGAGAGATGCAAACCCCCCTTCCCATCCCCCACCTTCCAATCTGTAAACCAGAGAAAGGGGCTTCACAGACACATGCCCACCCTGCCCTCATCATCTCTCTGCGTTAATCCTGATTTTGTTCATTTTAATTTTTTAATGCCCTAATTCCCTCTTTCCCAGCGAACAGTTACCCTGCCCCTGGCCTGCTGCTGTTATAGGATGCAGTCATCCCTCTCCCTCCCCCAGCCTGTCCTCTCTCTCCATCTGTGTCTTATTGAAGTATAACTTTCTCTCTTCCTGTCTCCCCCTGCCAACCTGCTCTCCCCATCTCTGTGTAACCGTATCGTAGATCTAGTGTTTAGTCAGCAACTGGACGCATCAGTATGGAGTTATATTTTTTTTAAGTAGTTGTTCTGGATTTTTTTTTATTCTCTTCCCTCTACAAGCGTGACATTTAGGGATAGTCGCAATGTGATGGCAAAGTAGCACATTCTGCGCAGAGAAGGGTAATTCCCCCTTCTCGGAATCCCTCATTCCGTGTTTTTTTCCTTCTCCCCCTATCTTTAGCCTATTTCTCTCAATATTATGATTGTCTAGTACTTATATACTGTGGTTTTCAGTTTTCAGTGCTACAGTGTTTCACTCTCGTGACCAAATTCTCAGAATGTTAAGGAAAAAGAAATAAAAATCTGTATGTTTTTTTTTTTAAAAAGCTGAGCAGCAGCGCTATGGTGGGAGTTTTCTCGTTTCCGTGTGACAGTTCCAGTTGGCCTGGTATGTACGTGTGTGCAGGCATCAGCTGTGGCAGCTCTCTGGCCATCTCTCATCTGAGCTGTGGACAGGGTCTCCCCCCACACTGCCTGCCCGACCAAAAGGACTGTTCTAAAATCTTGATCACTGCAGAACACTACCCCAGCCCCCCTGGTTATCATTCACCTAAATCCCTTAGGTCCTCTCCCACTTCTTGCTGTGTATGTAGGCTTAGTCTGTTGAGTGTTGTGGGGTTTGCGTGCCAAGAGGCACTAGCCTGTGTTTCAGTCACAGCTGACCAGGTTGTTCACCTCCCTGTGGTGCTCCACCCAGCAATCCGCCTGGCAGTGCACTGGATCTTTCCTTCCACTTGCCAGGGCAGGAATTGCAGCCACTGCAGAAACAGTGAGTCAAGTGAGTGGTGGAGTCACTATCACAGTTTTCCCAGCCAGTCATTTCACAGCCTTTTAACAGCATTCACAGAGTGCTGCTAAGGGGTTACTACCCTGGAAATATTCAGAGGATTTAACTATTGATCCAAGTAGCTTATTTGCCACCCAGTCTGACTATACTGTCCTGTGTGAGAGTGGTAGCAAAACTCCATTCTTGTTTCACATGGTTTAACACTACATGCCTCTTGCTCACAACAGTCCTTACTCCACCTACGCTTGCAAGTACACACACTCTCTCGACCCAAGATTGGGTCTCGGTTGCCCACTCTCCTACTGCAGCTCTTTGCCCTGCGGTCATGCTACGCACCATCCCTCTGTGAGAGATTGTCAGTGTGCTGCCTGCACCAGCGCCCTTTGCTTCCGTGTTTGATCTCCATTTGGTAACTTTGTGATCGTCCAGTTAATCCTAATAAAACATTATAGAACCACTCTAGTGTGCTTTCCTTTGTATTTTATTTCCTTTGTTTTTCCTTTGATGCAGGTGATGGGAAAATATAGTTTTGTCTGTGTGTCTGTCGTTGCGCGAGTCTCGGAATTGATGTATTTTGGACCTATCTGAAATGGGGGTGCCGGCCAGTGATGGTTCACATCCATTATGGATTTTCTATTTGGCCTCTGTTTCGTGCACTAGGTTTGAAAGGGTGAAGACTGGTGTGAATGTGCCATCAGTACTCTGCACCAAACCTGTCCAGCCCTGGTCCTGGAAATCCACAGGCTCTTCCATCATAGCTCTAAATAACTAAACTCAATCATGTGCTCTTAGTACAGATTAACATGAGGTGGGGTTTGCTGGTCAATTCTGAATGATGGTTTCTCTAGACCCACAGCTACTAATGCTGAGCCTCAGCCTCCTTTGACTCTTCTCAAACTGCACAGGTTCCTTTTAGCTTTGGTTGTGACATACAGGTTTGTTGCTTTTGTATGGAAGTGATTTATGTTTTCCATGAAACTTCCATAAACATTTGCCATGTATGTATATACAATGTACATTGTACCATGTATATACATGTACAGTATAAATTGTAAATGTATGTAGAAATGAAGTCTTCTCATGATTAGTTCACCATCTAGGCAATTTTTTACACTGCATTTTTAATGTGATTAAAACAAGTTGAATATATCATTGGCAATACATTTTATTACCTGAAGTTTGAAGCACACATGCACTAACAGGTCGTGCACATTCCTCCTGCTCCTCAGGGCTTTCTGAGCACAGACCTAAACTAGGGATATGCAGGCCCATTTCCTGTTCCAGCTTCATTCCTGGTCGCAAAGTTTCTTGAGTCTGAAACCTGAGATGAGAAAGGTCTGTTTAATCGAATGGCTCGTTCTGTTGAGGCTGAGCTGTGAAGCTGGAGTTCCGGACTGCGAAGGGCGTCTCGGTTTCCGCAGGCAGCTGTCGGCTCCGGGCGGCTCTTCTCTGCGTCTCGCTGGGCTGAGGGCACCTGGTCTCCGCTCACATGCTGGGAGAACCGGAGGAGTGACCTGGTAGCCAGGGAAGTGTGATCTGGCAGGGAGCCCCAGTCACGGGACATTCAGGGCCCCCCAATCCAAATACAGTCCTCCACAGTGGGGGGAGGGCAGTTGGGTAATCTCCCTGACAGAGGGGTGGGCACTGAGGCGAAGGTGTGGTGCTCTTGTTCCACATTCAAAAGGGAAAGAGAACTTATTCAGTTCAGTTTATTGGTCACATGCAATGAAATGCTTATTTGCATGTATGCTCCAATAAAAGACATAAAAGGAATCACCAAAAACACAAACACAGAACAGCAGCAACGACAAGAAGTCAACATACAGCTTTAAAATAAAAAGTCGGACAAGCAGTTTGAGAAAAACATCAGTGTGCACCGGTGGTAAGGGTAGAGTTAATCTTACAGCTTGTGGGAAGAAAGTAGCGGGCTCTGTATGTTCGGTTACACCTGCGGGGCCTCTTGATAGGTTTGCTCTTACAGCAACTTACAAAAGAAGGAAAGCCTCCGTATCTTTCAGCTCATCAAGAGCAGTGCGAGACAGGTCTAGCCGCAGGTCTGACGGTGAACAGTCTGAAAAGGCTGACCTGCAGAGTCCACTTGTTCGAACAGCAGGCTCACGCGTCTTCGGTGTTGCAGGCTGGGCTGGTCGTGCCAGTGAACTCACTGAACATGAGCTCACACCTCAGTAACAGAGCCCCCTGCCCTGGTGCCCTGGGTGAGCAGCCACACAGCTGGAGCCTGTTACCGTCACTCAGCTGATGATGAACAGGGAAGAGAAGGCACGTAGGGAATGCTGGGAGAGAGTGACTCTAATAGAGAGTAAGAAAGTATCCTGCCTGTCTGTCCAAGGGGTAGAAAATCACAGCCCAAAACGACAAATTTGAGATGAAAATGGAAACCATCCACCTTGCCTTAACTGAAGAATATTTCCACTTCTTCATGTACTTGTGAAAGAATGTGTTATAAACTGCAAGTGTTTATGGATGGCCAGCAGGTTAAAATAAGCAGACTTACACACCCCTTTAGCTGGAAAGTCAGTGTTGTACTATGGTGTTTTGCATTCAGATGAAATTCTAGGTTTTTACTAGATTAACATCGCTATTTTTAATCACTGAGTGAACTCAGTGCAGACATCACATACCTTGACAAAATCAAGACAGCCAAAAATATCCCTACAAGTGTTGTACAGGAACACTGACAATACCTCCTACCATCAAGACTCCACTGTGCTCTCTGTTTAATCCTAAAATGCAGGATAATGACTTAAGTGGCATGCAGACTGTTAAATTTCTATGAAAAATTAGCACCATTTTTAGCAGCAAAGGGAGTGTCGCTTTTGACATGGGTGAGGAGATGGGGTGAGAATTGAACAGCTCAAGAGAACAAGTGAGCAGTTTCAACATATGTTAGGAATAGCTTCCTTTTCCAAGGAAAATAAGAACATCTGGAGTCCTGTTCTGTGGAATCCAGATGTACAGTATCAAACCTAGATCCCACATGCTGAGTGTGCTGGGGGCTATACCATCACATTGCGGGGAGGGTTCAGCAGACGACTGCCTTCTTCAAAGCAGCAAGCGGTGAACTTGGCAGAATTGGACTCACCTATAGGAGAAAGTGGACTTTCCCACGTCCTGCAGGGGCTGGCCTTTACTGCCTGGGAAACCTGTCGAAAAATAGCTCATGTAAAGACAGATGAGCAAAAATTGCTTCCTCTCATCCTTCACATTGTAGTTTGTCAAGTTGAACTTTTGTGGACTACCTAGTGTACTTTATCACCTCCTGTATGTATACACAAGTGTGTTTGTGCTTCTAGGAAGGTGTGGGGGAGAGAGTTTACGTTTCTCTGGACACATGTTACTATCTGAAATAAACAATACTTGAGAAGACGTCCCCACAAAACACAGCTCCTAATTGACAAAAAGGGTTAGGACATCCATTATCCATTCTCTTTTCAAACGTAAAAAGTGCCCCAAACGGTTTTTTTTTCCCCACGTCTGGCAGACAACAGCTGAAGCGTAACGGGAAGTTGCCCCAGAGACAGAAACGCAGAGGCGCGCGTGCTTGCGCGTGAGTGTCTTTAACGAGGACCGCTCCCGGGAGCAGGGCGGGAGGGCGCTCCGCCGTTACCAGGGCGACAGACTCGGCCGCCCGTGGACGCGAGCTTGAGACGCCGCCAGCGAGGAGGCCCGGTGGCGGCGGGCGGAGAGGCGAGCGGGAGGGAGGAATGTAGAGGCGGAGAGAGAAACACGAGCCGCTGAGGGAGGTGTGGAGAGGAGGGGGACTTTCGCTGCTCTCCCCCGCAGATGTTGGTGTCCGGTTGTTCAGCGCTGCTGTTCTGAGGACACCGCTGCCTGGCTCTGACACTTCAGGCAGCTCGGGTGTCCCAGCGCTTTCCACAGTGAGCCGAGCTCGCAGGAGACACATTCCTACACACACAGGTATGGTAGCTCCGAGTCTGCTGATTGTGTTGTAATTGTAGGACTGGTGGCGATAAAAACAGTGTGGGTGTAATTATGGACTTGCTTGTTGATGGTTATTCCATTTCATTCTGATTGTCTCATGTAATTTTGCAGTTGTAGTGCTGCTGGGGCCGCGCAGCAGTGGCTCTCCGGTGGGCCTAGCCGGGCTGGTCCTGTCACAGCGATGCCGCGGTGTGTGAGGACGGGCCGGAGACGGGCCGGGCTGTCTGGACCAGCGGGTCTTGGGGTGCTGGTGGCAGGGCTGCTGATGACGGCGCTCGGCGGGGCAGCAGGGTACCCCAGCTGGAGGGCAGAGATGGTGAGTGATTGGGCATGACTGGCTTCAGACTGGACACAGCACACTTGTCCAAACACTTTAGTTCAACATAACACTGGATCAGTGCTCCTAAAGTCAATTCACCTTGGATAGGGGAGGTCATCGGTTTCGAGCAGCCTGTTTCAGACCCCCACAACCCTTTGTGTAACAAGCTGCCTCCTGTTTTACGGCTTTAAATGCACTTTCCCTTGGTCTCCACGTGAACTGCTGTGCGTGTGTCGCTGTTAATTCTGAAGAAGCGGTCTGGTCTGTGCCTTGGAGGGTATTGAGTACTTGAATTTGTTCCCTCCGAGTCCCGCTTGTTCAAGACGAAGAAGATTCAGTTCAGTGTGGGGCACTCCTTTGAGCTCGGGAATGTGTCTGGTCACTCTTTCCTGGACTGATTCCTGAGCAATAATGTACGATTATCAAACTGAGGTCTTCCGTACTCGTGCATTAAATAATACAAGTAATTAATTGAAATAAACACCTCGGCCTTTTACAAACGCAGCAGTTTCAGGCTGAGTTTCCCATTTTATATTACAACAGTTTGTATTTTAGCTGCTTGCACGTAACACTCTGCAAATGTCTACATCAAATGTCTACATCTACATCCACACCTGAAGAAGGCTCCACGGCAGAAACGTTGTGTTCTCTTTCTTCTTTTTTTCAGCATGGAATAAACCTATTACTTGTTCCTTTACGTCAAATGGCGTTTGGTAAATAACTTTAATCCTTAATTATCTCTCAATGTTATTATTCTTAATGATATTATAAATAAAAACAGCATGGAGCAGTCGCCCAGTACTCCTCAGCAGTCACTCAGACGCAGGCTTCACAGCTTCTGAGCAGTGATGGTTTCTGAGCAGACAGCCAGACCTGGGGAGCTGTGCCTCAGTAGAATGAGACAGAGCACAAGGTCAGTGTGGTCTGCCACCTGTGGTTACAGCCGCCATCCACTAGAGGCCGCTAGATTGTGTAATATTGGTAAATAGTCATACTTGAGGTGGAGTAGTCAAAATGGTGAAGAGTTAGGAAAACTAAGTAAGTAAAATTACATTTGCTTGGACTACTAGCATGGTGTGGGGATAAAAAGGATACATCAGGACAACAGGAATAGGGATTGTGTCTGGATTCATTAACTGCAGCTGTTTCAAAGACAGCTCAGCTGGCTTTCAAAATTGTCTTCAAAGCTGCAACTTCAACTTTTAAAGCATGTTGGAGCCACTGCAGGAGACAGACACAGGATTCAAGTTTTTAGCAGCTTATGTACAAGGAAATAAGTTACATTTCTCTGCACAGATAAGGGGATAAGGCACGTATCTAGCAACTTTCCATCTTATTTGAGTTTGGTTCTCTGACGAGTGATTTGATACCCAAGAACCATCCTCCATTATTCATTTTCCAGTGATTCATTTTGACCACACTGTTCAGTTTAGCCCTCTGACTGCTCTACCTTCCTGAAACCCTTCAGTGGTGTTAGTAGCTGTTGGAAGGGAAAGCCTGGTTCATAACGGAAAATATTTTTTGCTGAATGAAGTCTCAGGTCCACGGTGGGGTTTAATGTGCTCAGGGCGGTTTTCTCGGGCAGCCTCGACCCACATGACCTTTGCCCCAGTGCAAAACTGCAGTTTTCACCCTCCACCCCAGCACGCTAATAATAGCCAAAGGAATACTCTACCGCCATTAAAGTCATTGTGCAGAAAATACAGAACATCCTCTCACTCTCCACGACCGCAGCTAAATCAGTAATAAAGAGTGTGGCACTCCTCTCTGCCGCGGCGGGTGTGTGCAGCCCTTCAGAGCGAGGGGTGGGGGGGCAGGAGAACAGACGGGACAAGGAGAGGTGAGATCTTCAGAGAGCGAGGGGCGGGAGAGGGGAGCCCTGCTCTCCTCGCAGCTGGGTGACAGATACTTGTGCAGGGTTGTGAAGCGGAGTGCAGGGCCCAGGCTGCAGATAAAGAGCTGGGAAGAGATGGGCCTCTCCCTGCTGGTGCCAGTCTGTCACAATCCACAGCTCATTGTGCTGATAATGCACTGTAATGCACTGTATGGTATTGTATTGTATGGTACTGTATGTACTGTATGTATGTATTGTATGGTACTGTATGGTATTGTGTTCTGCGCTGTAAGACGTTGTATTGCAGTGCACACTGTACTGTACTTTGTTACACTGTCCTGTGTTGAATTACACTGTTACAGAGCACTGTGTTCTACAGTACTGCAGTAAACTGCTGTTTTACTCTATGTGCTACTCAGTACTGTAAAGGTTTATTCCATGCAAAAAAACACAACGTTTTGGCTGTGGACCCTTTTTCAGGTGTTAGCTTGAAGGTTCCTGACAACCGAAGAAGGCTCCACAGCCGGAATTTTGTGTTTCTTTTCTTCTCTTTTCAGCATTGAATAAACCTTTACTTGTTTCTTTGCAGCCTACGCATGCTGACACAGCTACCTTCTTTTTTGTACTGCATTGCCAGTGCACATCCTTTTCCTGCAGATTTGCAGAGCTCTGTCATGTGAGCTCAGCAGCTATGACATAGAGACACCTCCTTGCAGCACAAGTTGGAACTCAAATCGGAGCAGGCCGTAGCTGGCAGCCAATGGTTGGACATCTGCCCTCTGTTTCCAGAGTATTGACCCTCTCTGGGCTGTAAGAGCGTCTTCTAGAGCCTCCTCACCCTGGAAGGTGCCACAGCCCGGCCAGAGTAGCATCTTCTCATCTTCTTCGCCCGGGAAAAGACTCACACTCTTCCTCTCCACTTCCCCTGTCGTCCTCCGTGACTCGCCCTCCCCCTCATGCCCCTTTCCTGCCACCCTCTCATCCTCGGCTTCTCCTCCCTCCCTCCCACGCTGCGTGAGCAGGAATCGGGCCTGTCAGCCCTCCGGCAGTCCTATGTCATTCCTGGAACCCAGGGCCAGCTGGCTGAGGTCCTGGGGGCGCGATCCAGACGCTACGCCATCAACCCCATGGGCCACAAGTGGGAGCACTTCAACATCACTTACAAGTGAGAGCCCGTGAACAGAGGGAGGTCTTCCAGACGGGAGTGAGGGGCGGGTAGGATGTGGGAATTGGCACAGTAGTCACTTGGCACAGACTGCCAGCCCCAGATTTCTTCTTTTCTCCAAAACAAGCCCCAGTTTGCATGGCACGTTTACGCAGTTTTGCCAAAGCACTGGGATGAGCAGGTCCAGTGCAGTACAAGCAGTGCAGGATAAAATACAGGGTGAAATCTGTGTTGATGTTAATCCCAGAGGGGTTGGCAGTCTCTGAGAGTCCTGTGACGCCCGCCTGGAGAGGCGGCAGGTGGCAGGGAAGAGGGTGGGACTGGGACAGAGGGCAGGGAGACTCCTAACGCTGTTTCCCTGTGTCCGGGAGTCAGGATCACCCAGTTCCCCAGCACGCTGTACCGAGAGGACACGCGGCGTGCCATCAGCATCGCTTTCAACATGTGGAGCGCCGTGTCCCCCCTCAGCTTCACGGAGGTCCCCGCGGACAGCCCTGCGGACATCCGCATCGGTGAGCCCCGACTGCACATCCAGCTCCCTGAGCTCCCGGCCTGCAGGGGGAGGACGAGGAGAAGGACACAGGACACGGAAAGGGGGATGTGTGAC